AATTTGAATTAATAGTACTTCTGCTCGATGAGAGCGAGCCAAAGCACCTGAAGAGTGGAAGAAGATGAGACGACTACTCATATCCAAAATTTGACATTAAAAGCCAAAAGTTCAATTATGATAATCATCTCAATCCAAATGTTTTAATTGCTTACATACTTTGAGGTCGCCAAGTTTTATTCATCGTCTTATTCGAGTACTTACGCCGAGTAGGAAATAAACAAAAAATTAGAAAAGCTCATAAATAGACCGTGAATCTGCGTAACTCACCTGAGTCTTGAGAAAATAGGCAATGCTTCGCAGCTAACTACAAATTCGCAACTCTAACAGTCCTGAGACTACTCTTCTAAGAAAATACCAATTGCAACAAGTTTCAAGTCCTAAATTGCATGAATCTGCGGAAATTACTGGACAATAAAAATAACAAAAAATTTATACTAACATTTATATTCAAAATATTTACAAAGGTGATGAGCATTGAAATGCTAAGCTATTGTTGGTGTTGGCTCTTCCTGTAGATAGAAACCCCAGTAAAACACATTGAAGGCGAGAAATGACTGCAAACAGAAGATTTTATCAGCCGCTGCCACGATTTTTCATAGATGAGACACAAGTTTTGGTCAATTAGAAAGCTTGCCAGAAGTAAATTTTTCAAAAAAATCTAAATTTTACATGAATTAAAAAGGTTACCGTTGGAAAGACAAAAAACGATATTCGATCGACTCGGCTGCCAAAATCAAGTATTCTTCGTCTTCTCTTCAAATAATTTGATCGACGTTGTTTGACAAGTTCCTTTTCTAACGTTGAGGCATCGGTTGATTCGAAATTTAACATCATGGCCTGAAAAAGTAACAATGAAGCCTAGACTGAAACTTTTAGAGCTGAAGTGTAAAATTTAGCCATTCTTGTATTAAGATAAACCTTGCATTACTAAGGCTTAGTTAAATAGGTTTAGGTGAAATTACTTACATCGTCTGTTTTGGAATGTTCTATATGACGCTCCGGATGCTGCATTTTTGGCGAATCAGTGCCAGCCATGGGATCAAAGTACTTCATGAAAGATAATATCGCATAGAGAGTATTACCAGAGCGGTTCGACTTAAGCAGGAGCTTTTTATCCTAAAATGGCAAAAATTTGGGGGTCTCAACTTTACAAGATACCATTAGCAAACTTACCTGGTAAGCAACGAATGCAAGTTCAAGTAAAGAAGCAAAAATAAAGGCAACGCAGGTAAACATCCAAATATCAATAGCTTTGATATAGGAGACAGGTGGAAGAGAACGAATAATGTTACCAAACTGAAAATTTAGTAAGAATAGTAATTTCCTATTAATTAGTCGAGATGTGGACTTGCCTGGAATGTTAGGGACATTAGCGAGTTCACGCCAAGTACTATTCTCGCAGGAAGAGCTTTCGTATCAATACAAAACGCTATCCATGAGATAAATACCGAAATGTAGGTGGGAAAGTACATCTAAAAAGATAAAGAGATTCATGTGTACATAAGGTATCTATCCACTTATCAATAGATTTGTTTACTACAAACTTTAAGAAACCTTTATGTGCTTAATTGAAGTATGTTCAATCCAACCTTCAAAAATTGAAGTTTTCTCAAAAGCATAATATTACAAGAAAAGACCAGGTTCAAATCGTAGAGCTTCTCAAAATTATAGGATATGATCATTGATTGTGTTAAAGAAACCTTTAGTATTTACGTACCTAGTAGATTTCACTAATTTCAATTTTTATACTGCTGCAAGAAATTGCAAAAATAGCTTTCCGCAGTTTATGACCTTTGCCTTCACATTGTTAAGGGGCAGGATTCAGACTACAAATATTGCTCGTTCTTACAAAGAAAAGAAAAAATGAGAAAATTGGACTTTAAAACAGTTTGATTTGAGCTTAGCATCCAAAGAGGTTTCTACCAATAGACTCAATCTGTAAAATAATGAAGAAGAAATTTAGAAATTTAAGAGCCACAAAATCGCAGTAACAGGTATTATCAGCCAAGATGACATGCAACCAGCTTTCCTTATGAAAAGAGTCAATTCAGGGAAATGAGCAAATCATTTCTATTGAGCAATATCTCCATTCAAATTCTACCTTTTTTTTTAAAAAATACTCTCAGAGATAAACTCGTGAAGATAGATGTTGGCGATGAAAAACTTTTGCTGATTTTTTTTGGCGGCTTAGGCTTTTTACATGAAATTTTGCTACTTAAGCCGGATCTAAACTAACATTAAGCAAAATTTAATCTAAAATTTTCTTCCCTGATTGTAATCACTAACAGAAAACATACCTGCAGAAGGTAGAACCCATATCGCCGTTTGAACCTCAGCTCAACTGTGAGTCGATACCATTCCCCGGCTTTGTAACTCTAAAAAATAATACACTGGTTAGTGGCATATATCTCGAAAACATTCGACAATCATAACTTTTTTGTAAGTCTCTGTATTTAAGGCAATTTGCTAAGTTTTAAAGTCAAAGCTTTAGGAGAAAGGAAACAAAAGATGCTGTAACACTCATGCATTTTTCTTAAATTTATGATCCAATCACCTCCGTATGTTTGAATGTGCGGATGCCCGCTAGGTCGAAATCGGGTAGGCTGATGTCGTCAAGTACCGTAATCGCAACAGGCATCCAATCAATTTTTACCGTTGCAGTGTTGTAGGAGTAACTTTCAAACACCTTAACAAATGATTCTTTTCATCAATGGAATTTGCAAGTCTACCCAATCAATACGGCTCAGAGAAATTGAACAGCGAAAAAGTACGAAAAAATACAATAAATAAATTGCTTAGCTGAAATTAAAGATTTACCTACCAAAGAGCATACTTGTTGATCAATAGGAAACCGCTCAAGATTCATCGAACATGGTGACTCAACTTTGACCTAAAGAAAACCTAATTTAGCCCTAAACATCTTAGTAGTTAAGGGGAACCAACCCTGTAATTTAGCCAAATTGTTCCATTCGGCATGAGCATCAACAGGACATTCGGCTTTGGTGACATATGCACTGTTGTCGATTTCGTGTTAACTATACACACATTCGGGGACCATAACATCTAAAATAGCATACTATCATATACAATGACAGAATAGGTTCCTTCTCAAACTTTTCACACCTTTATTTCGCCAATCATGCTTTAAAAATTTACCAGCATGAGGCTAGATAGGAGTAATTGATAGAAAATAGTCAAAAATGACTTTATGTTCTAAGCAAAAGCCACTGTTGTAGCATACAAGAAAAGAAAAGGGAGTTTTATCTTTCGGTAATTTCAAACTATCGCCAATGTTTCTGAACGTGATAAAAATTCTAGGAAGGGGGAGGTTTAGAGCAACGAGTCTAATCCACTCATCGGAACTATTCCCTACAAATCTTTCTAAATGATGAACAACTTTTCGATAAAATAATTGCAAATAAAAAAAGGACTATAGAAATTTGATTGAAAGTTGCAAAAAACCAAACGGCTCAAAATCAGAATCAGTTCATTCTTAAGAGGAGAATTCTGCAAAAGTGTGATAACCGCTGATTGGAAAATTATATATCATCTTTTAAGAACATGACCGCGATCAGATTTTTCATATGGCAACAAATATTTCGACCTAAAAAATAAGGGTGTGCTTATAACCAGCTGAGCGTGAAGACCTGCTCAATAAGTGTAGAACTCTTCGTTACCTTTTCAAACTTATCATCAAATGACATGTTGGCTCTGCAGCTATCCAAATGATCAAAAGCAAGACGCTGATCGTGCCATATCGAGCTAAAATATGCTATTTTTTGTAAAATTTGCAAGAAAGAGTTTAAGTTGATCTCTTCAGGATCGCTTGCAGCAAATAGTTAAACATTTTCAAAAAATTCAATAGTATATGAAATGAGCATGAAATAGATACTTTAGGGTATTGTTTGACTAGACACAGGGTCAACTCATAACTCTAACAGTATCACTTACCTAAACCAGATGTCAGCCGAGAAGCTATTACTCAGAACTGATAGTTCCATGATATCCTGCACGGTAACCTCAACTTGCACGGGTACAGGCTGTGGTTGAGGTATCTCTGATCTAGAACTTACAAGGATTCCATCTCGCAACAATTCTCTAGAATCAAAGTACTTCCATGAAGAGGTTCTTTCGTAACATTCCTTTTTTCTTTCTTCTCCTTTCGTCTTTTTTTATATCCATTCAAATTGGATTTGAAGATGGTACAAACCTGCTATAATTTGCCATAAGTGCGTCCACTATTTCACTCGGTGTCATTCCTGATTTTGAGCATTGTAACGATGCCATTTGTATAACGGAGAATATCACGGACAGTGGTAGAGGCAACATATCCTAAAATAAATTTCATATTAG